TCCCTTAATCGCAAATTTGGCAGATTTTAATTAGGGGTGAGAGAGAAGGGGGTGATATTTACTTGATTTCACTTCAAATAGACACCGTACTATTCCAGGTGTCAAAACCACAGCCATTGAAGCATCGCATAAAGATATATGACAAAGTAAAACAATAACAACTCTCCTACATATCCCATTATAGAAAAAAAGGAGATATATTTGCTCTCTTGATATGTCCCATTAAGAAACTAAGCGTAAACATTAGAAAGGGCGGAGATAGTATGTTGATAGTCTAGCTCCTATTGTCCTATAGCACATCGTTTGCATAGCAAAAAGTGGTTGAAATATAAATGTTCAAGCACTTCATTCCCTTAACATCGTAGTAAACTACACAGGACATTGAAAGAAAACAAGGTCAAACAATTACCCCTGCAGCATGGCCAGAGCCAAGTAGTAGCATAACCTTCTTCTGGAATGAGTTTCCATGTGTCTGGTTACAACAAAATATAAAACTCAGCATTTGATGAAAAATGGATCATTATATGCTCCCTCCATCCCACAAAAAGTGGCACGGTCTGCTACACACTTTGACCACAAATTATACATTGTTTTAAATAAATAAATGTTATAAAAATTTGTTGTATCATCTTAAAATGAACCCAATTATATTAAATTTACATGATAACTATATACACTTTTCACAGTTTATAGTCAAAGTGTGTAAGAGTTTGTCTAAAAGTCAAACCATGACACTATTTTTGGGACAGAGGTAGTATTATTTAAGAAAACTAGGCATGCCATGGTGCTACCATTTTGAGGTGTTTGTAAGAAAATCTATTCAATCAAGATGAAAATCAGCATACAAGTGCCAGTTTGTTGTTTTAAAGTTTACATGCTCTCTCCATCCCATAAAAAGCTTCCGCATTTTCTTCTTAGTCTGTACAAAAAAGGTTCCACTTTCCACATTTGAAAAAGTTTTTGTGGTCCATATAAAATACTCTACACACTTTTTCAACCACAAATATCACTTTTCTTCATCTATGTGCCAAGTCAAAAATAGAACCTTTTTACGGGGCGGAGAGAGTAATTGACACAAAGATAATAGTAGAAAAGTTTAAATCCAGTTCCCATTAAATGAAATACTCCCTCCATCCGGATTTAGTTGTCCACTCTCTGAAAAATCTCATTCTTATGAAATGAGTGAAATGTCAAATATGTTTGGCATGCATTCATGTCAACAATGCTCATATCTTATCATTAAGACACTTCAGACAATTCATCATAATTTCTTTATTGAATATCGCAAGTGGACAACTAATACTGGATAAATGAAAACAAGAAAGTGGACAAGTAACTCCGAGCGGAGGGAGTACATTGTTTTGCCTGATATTTTGATCAATTACGGCTCAAAATGCATTTCCTTGCACTCCTTAAATAATTCAATTTTAACATTAGCATAGTTGAATCCCCATAAAATGAGTATATTACACTTATTCTTCAAAATTCAAATAAGAAAGAAACAAATTAGCAACGAAAATGAGATGTAGAATTAAATATACAACAATTTCCCTCAGGATTAAATACTTAAATACCTAAAATAGGACACTAGCATAGTAGCTAAATACGAGTAGTTCAGCTCTTTTTATACCTGAATAAGAGTAAACAATGGCAATGACATAATTGACATATGTGACAATGACATAATTGACACATGTTGACATAATACCTAAATAAGAGTAAACATGTTGCCACCTCCGGTTGCATTCCACAGATTGCGGTGAAGGTGTTAGCACTGACATAACACAACACCTTCCATCAACACTGACAAATTATTGTCATTGTTGACATTTTAACTCGTATTTAGATATAAAAAAAGTTGAACTCCTATTTAGCTACTATGTCCATGTTTTGCTCCTATTTAGGAGCATTAATTTTATTTCCCTTGCTCAATGCTTCTATTCATAATTCATGTCTTTCATAATGGTTCCTAAACAACATGTACATTTCAAAATCTTATTTAACAGATCATTTGAAGATTTAGATTACTCCACTACCCTTAGGGGCACAAATCATTAACTATTTAATTGTGTGCACAAGTTTTCTCAATACTAATTCAAGAATACACCAAAGTGCTATGCATTATACATTCGGAGACCAATAAACATAACACTAAAATAAGAAAGAGATTTTGTAACGTACAATAGCCTTTGCGGGATCCCAAGAAAAAAATGCAGTGAAGAAGCATGGTTCATTTCCTTCTGTGACTTTATACAATGGAACACTAGGAGATAACCCTTCCAAAGATGAGGCCATCTCTATGTATTTCTGAAATGAAAACCAAAGGTCATCAAAACCAATACCAAATACCTACTCTCCATCATAAGGAACATCCGAAAATCATTGGTTACCTGCCCAACTTCAAAAGCAGTTTGCTTCTCGGTGAGGTCAGTCAATTGACCAACCCAAATAAATACTTCAGCATGTGTGTCCAGTATCAAGACATCCTCAGTTAACAGATCATCTTGAGAAAAGTTGTACACTTCCTTGACCTAGCATAGGATAGAAGGGGTTTTGGAATTTAGGGAAGAGGTAAGTTACAGAGCCATTAATAGATGGAAATACTTCAAGCATTTTAAGCCTAATTTTTAGAACATACCTCAAATTTGCCTGGAGATTCATATGACAGCAAAAAGTTAAGAAAAACAATTTCAGTGGAAACCCATATTTGAATGAAAATACAACAGAAAACTAAATAGACGATGAGCATATCAAAACACACCTTTTTTGATGGAATATGTGAACATATGGGGATCACGGATAATAACCTCTAAAGGTGCTTTCTTGCTGGTATAATTTTCTTTACCACCAAGGGCAGACCAGAAAGCAGAGATTTCAGCTCCTTCTTTTGTGTGTTTCACAGATACTCCTGGCTGAGTTTTTTGTTTTTTAAAGGAAAGTGCATCCATTTAATTAGACATGCAGCGTAAGGAACTACAAAATATTACTCTATAATATAGAAGCAAAAGAAATTTAGACGGCTACCATGCATCAAGCCTTTCAGGAGTTAGTTTTCCTTATCTATATGAGTGGTAATGGGGTCATTTACTGAGTTACTTACACCTAGGAGGAAGGCAAAAAAGAATAGAGAAACCGCCTTAGCAACGAACTTTTTTATAAGAATGCTTACCTTCAAAAAATCAGCTATCTTTGCAGCTAACTGTTGTTGCTCATAGGTACTGTGGACTCCATGCCAGATGAACATTGAGCCAGATTGAAGAAGAAAGCATTCATTAGAGTTCAGTGATGTTTCCGCCTGAGGAAAAAAACTAATAACTGATGCATATTTCAAATGTATGTGAAACTATTCAAAGTAGTTACAAAAAACCCTATGAAAAGTTGTAGGAAAAAACACATATTTTCTTCACTGAGAACATTTGGTCATTTACAAAATGCGGGACCAATTTCTCTGAATAATAAGCTAAGAATAATACAAGCATTAAAAAAGACCAGCATTTAGAATGTGATAATTCAACTCTGGAGAAGATTGATCTAGGAGACAGATGAACTATCCATTAACCATTCTTTTGGCACACAAACTAAATAAATTTTAGAAGAAAGCTTCTCTTGCTTCTTACTTTCTACTCCCTCCGTCCACAAATAAAGTTCTCACTTTCCTTTTCCGTCCGTCAAAAAATAATCTTCCCATTTCTATTTTTGGAAAGTCTTTTATACCAAAAAGTCTAAATTACCCTCCCCACGCACTCCCTATCTTTTCTTTTTCTTTTTCCTTCCCCATCCATTTCCTTTCCCAGCCGTCACTTTTTCTTCCTTCTCCTTTCTCTCTTCTTCTTCTCTCTTTTCTTATCAGCGAGGCGGTGGCGGTGGTCGGAGGTGATAGGGCGGTCTGATCTCCTCATCTTCTTCTTCTTCTTCAATTCCCATGGTCCAACGGCCAATCAATCTTCAACTCTTCTTCTTTCTTTTCTTCTTTCTTGTCCATCTCCGTCAGATCTGAGAATTTTGATGGCGGAGTACAGGCGCCGATTGATGATGCCGTGTTGGATCGGAGGGAGGGATCCCCAAGTTTCTTCCTTCTTCGTCTTTTTTTTAAATTGAAGGAGCAGGCAAAGGTGACGGAGAGCAGTGAAGCGGCAGTCGGAGTTGACGTGGTAGACCATCAAGGCGGCCGTCGGTGATAGTGGCGGAGCAGCGAGGAGGTTCTGCCTTGCTGGGAGGGACATCCGATTGCACAGACAGAAAAAATGGGTGGATAAGAAAAGAAGAGAAGGGATGAGGGATGGAGGGGTATTTTAGGAAAGTCAAAGTAAATTTCAAGTTTTATTAAACTCCGTGCCAAGTCAAAGAGAGAACTTTAATCTTGGACGGAGGGAGTATGTTGTTTTCGTCAGTAAACATAGCAATGCATTAAGGATCTAACAGAAATATCCTCTTTGTTTCTTAGAGGAATATGGTTGTACATCTAGACCTCCACCCCCCCCCCCCCCCCCCCCCCCCC